CCTGTAGCCCCAGCTGGCCTGGAACTGGCTATGTAGACCAGGCTGGCCTTTAACTCACAAAGATCTGCCTGCCTCTGCCTCCTGAGTCCTGGGATTAAAGGCATGTGCCACCATACCTGGCTAAGAGCTTTCTTTTTTGTCTTTTTGGTTGTGAGCCTGAGCCTTTAACATCTGTGCCAGTTCTCCACCCCAAGAGATTTCTTTAAAAAAAAAAATTAATTCTTTGAAAATTTCATGCAATGTAATTGGGTCACATTCATTCCTACTCCTTCCCTTAACTCCTCCCACTTCCACCCTCACCTCTGTTCTCACCCCAACTTTGTGTCTTTTTTTTTTTTTTTAAGTAAAGCATCAAGTTCAATTTGTGATACCATATACTCCTGGGTATGGGGCCCTCAACCTACCAGAGACCATACCTTTAAAGAGACCTGATTCTCCTGCCCCCAGAAGCCATCAGTTGTCTTTAGCTTCTCCATTAGTGGTTAGCCCTCATGCACCCCTTCCTCATGCTAGAATGTTGACTGGCTTGAACTTACATAGGTCTTGTGTAGATAATCACAGCTATTGTGAATTCATGAGTGTGGTGTTTCACTCCTGTCTTCTCCAACCTCTGGCTCTTACAATCATTCTGTCACCTTTTCTTCCATGGCCCCTGAGTCTTGGGGAGGGGGTGATATAGATGTCCCATTTGTGACTGAGTACTCCACTGACACTCTGTACCAGTTGTGGATTTCTTGGCAGAGCTTTCTTAATTCATGAAAACAAAGGATTTAGGAAACATTGCATTATAACTTATTAGGTAAGTTACCTTTTCTTGGGGCGGTAGGGGGAGAGGCAGGAGGGTCTCACTGTGTAACCCAGGCTGTCTTTGAATTTACTGTGTAATTTAGCATGGCCTTGAACTCCTGCCTCAGTTTCCCTGTGCCACCTGCTGCTTCCCTTCTTCCTTCTTTGCTGGTCCTCTTTTTCCTCTTCTTCTGTCAGCACATTTTTATTTAAGAAATTTCACATTGTGATTCCTTCATTTCACATCAAGGTCATCCTAGTTCCTCTAAAGTCAAAATTCAAAATGGCCCTTAAAAATTTTTTACATTCATTTATTTATTGTGTGTGTGTATGTACATATGTATGGGAGGGGTGCATACTATGTCATACATATAGAGGTCAGAAGACAGTTTGCAGGAGTTGGTTCTGTCCTTCAACTATGTGGATTCTGGGGATCAAACTCAAGTTGTCAGGCTTGGCAACAAGTACCCTTACCCACTGAGCACTTGGGAGGCAGAACAGGCAGATCTCTCTGTATTCGAGGTCAGCCTGGTCTACATAGCAAGTTCCAGGTCAGCTGAGGCTACAGGGAAACCCTATCTCAAAAAGACCAGAAAAAAAAAAAAAAGAGCTAATGTTTAATCCAGTTTTCCTTTAGAGTAGATGGATCCGCCAGCTTCTCAAATTCTAACATCTCTAAACTGAATGAGTTCAAATCATTCATTCCTTGTTGTTGTAGCAAGAAGAGTATAGCTCTGTCAGATATGCAGCCCAGAAGGTAAAAAGAAATTATTAGGTCTTTCATGCTTTTTGTTAACTGTCTTCTGGTTCCTTCTGACAAAGCTAAAAAATAATCCTGTGAATAAAGTAAAACCACAGAGTTACTCTGTAAGGAGTTTCCAGTAGTATGAGTCTACAGGAGAAGGCTCATTAGCAGACATCAGCTTAACTTCCCTCTTTATGCCTGTTGTCTCATCTGTAAAATGGGAATAAAACAGTTTCTATCACACAGATTGTTGTGAGAAGTAAATGGAATAATCTTTGCAAAAGCACAGATAGAAGCCTAGAGCCACCTTCTGTTGTTTTCTTTACCTTGTGACTGTGGACTCTGGAAGGTATGTATATGGGAACCTCTAGGGACTTGAAAAGTTCTGTTTGAAAACCCTTTATCTATTTAATGTTCTCTTTGTTTATTTGTTTGTTTGTTTGAGATAGGGTTTTACTATGTAGCCTTGGCTGACCTAGAACTCCCTATGTAGATCAAGCTATCCTCAAACTCACAGAGATCTGCCTGCCTCTGTTTCCCAAGTGCTGGGAAGCAGTGGGTCCAACACCACACTGGCTATTCTAGTGTTCTTGTTCTGTGATGTTCTTGTTTTATGGATGAGGTAATACTGAGTCCACATTCTCTGGTTCCTCATATGACATGGTTTCCTAAATAATCTTTTAATCACTAGTCAATCTCCTATGGACATCCTTCTGAGGTTGAGTTTTCTGACCTTTCAAATGGGTTAGCAAATCTTGTCCATCTCAAAAGAGTACCACAAGGAAGCCAAGCCTGGTGGCACAGGCCTGTAATCCCAGCTACTCAAGAGGCTGAGGCACTGGGATTGACAATTCAAGACCTGCTTGGGTTGTAGAGTTAAGTTTAGGGCCAGACTGGGCAACTTAATGAGATCCTGTCTCTAAATAAATAAATAGGGCAAAGGACAGTTAGGGCTATAGCTCAGTGGTAATGTGTTTCTCTAGCACATGGGCCCAGGCTCAATCTTCAGTAGCACCAAAAAACAACAACAAAAAACATTTTCCCTGAACAATTTAAGTGTAAGATGTAGATCTCTGAATATTATTTCCAATAAGCAAGAATTTCTTCCTGTATAACTATAAAATAACTGTCAAAACAAGGAGATCAATATTTGTACATCACTTGCCATCTGATCCTTTGACTCCAGTGCAGTTTTGTCAAATGGTCCCAATAATGTCCTTTATAGAAAGAGGACCCAGCAGAACATGTGTGACATATAGTTGCTCTGTCTTTGTAGTCTCTCTCAGTCTAGACTAGTTCTAGTCTTGATTTTCATGATCTTAACACTATCTTTTCCATCTTAACAGTCAACAAAATGTAACCTAATACTAAGTACTAATATACTACTAAACACTAAATACTACTAAATACCTAAATGCTAAACCAAATTGGTTGCTTTTTATTTTATGCCAGGAATCCAAAGAGTTGTTACTTTAAAGTTTAATAAAATAAAGGATTTATTGTGTTGTGTTTTGTGATTTTGTTTTGTATTATTTTTGTTTTGTTTTGTTTGATGGTGCTCAGGTTAGAAGCCAGGGCCTTGCACATGCTATGGAACCACTCTACCACTCAACTATATCCCCAACCCCAAAGTAAAGATATTTTGAAATGATAAATATCAGCTTATATCACTGCCACTCAATTACAAATAAAGCTATCTGGGGAGCCTGCTCAGTGGGAAGAGTGCTCACTATGCAAGCATGAGGACCTGACTTCAAATCCCCAGACCCTGCACAAAAAGCTGGGATGGCTGTGTGTGCCTGTCACCAGTGTTGTGAGGTGCAGTGCCAGGAGGTTTGCTGGAGCTTGCTATCAGCCAGTTTAGCTGCAGGTTCAGTGAGAGACCCTGTCTTAATGGAATAAGGTAGAGACTGCTAGAGCAGCATGCCTTTGTTCTTCTCTGCCTCTACACATGCACAGGGCACACACACCTGCACTCCCCCACCACACTCATATACTCACCAAAATTATTTTTAAAAAGATAATTTTAAAAGGAAAAATAGGCACAGCATAACAGCACAAAGTATAGTTTTTTTATATTCACTATATGTAGCATTATGATAAATCACCAATAGATGAAAATAGTATCTAGTATTAACTTTGACCTTTAGATTGGCCTATGCTTTTTAGCATCTACATCTAAGCCCTAATATTGTTTCCTCTCCCTATATAAGGATAGGGTCTGTTCCTTATCTGGGCCAGTCTAGGTTCTATTTATTTTTTCAGAATATGTGAATTACTGCCTACTTTGTGAAGCTTTCTCCCAGTCTCATTTTCCCACCCCCTTTCTTATCCTTAACCAGAATGAATAATAAAATCTAGACTTAGATAATTCATTAACTGATACATTCATTTCATTTACAGTTAAGGTAACCAAGGTCCAGAGAAATGAATTATGTAAGGCTCCATATTGTGAGAAAAAGTGAAGTAGCCCCAGCTAGCTTAGAACTCACTATGTGCCAGGCGTGGTGGTGCACGCCTTTAATCCCAGCACTTGGGAGGCAGAGGCAGGCAGATCTCTGTGAGTTCAAGGCCAGCCTGGTCTACATAGTGAGTTCCAGAACAGCTGGGGCTACAGGGAGACCCTATATCAAAAAGACCAAAAAGAACTCACTAACTCACTATGTAGACCAGGCTAGCCTCAGCCTTACAGAGATCCACCTGCTTTGTGCTGGGATTACAGGCTTGTGCACCACACCTGACTTCTTTGTTTTCTTACTTCACATTATTCCTAGCATTTCATTCCTAAATAAGATTGCATCTGACAAGCAAAAATCTTGCCTCCTCAGTTACTGAGCCTCATGAGTAAAAGAACCAGATTTCTCTTGTTTATAGCCTAGCACACAGTATAGCTAACAGATATATTTAGTTGTAGAGCTATTCATGCCCCATAATAAATTAGCATCTAGCAACAGGTTTTAAACTTTTTGTAGATATTTATAGATATGTTTGAAGCATGTATTCAGAACAAATGAATGTACATGTGTTCCCATGACTCTTGACACTGCTGAGAACTAGTTTTTATATTTATTTACTGATTTACTTACTTATTGTATGTATAAACATACTTGCCATAGTGTATGTGTGTAGGTCAGAGGACATTTTGTAGGAATCAGTTCTCTTCCTCTACCATAGGGGATCCAAGGTCATCAGATGTGCTGGATAGCTTTAGTGCCAACTTGACACACCTGGGCCAAGGGAGCCTCAATTAGGGAATTGCCTCCATTGGACTGGCTTGATTGTTGAGTGATGTGGGAAGGCCCAGCCCACTGTGGGTGGTGCCACCCCTGGGCAGGTGGGCCTATGATGAATAAGAAAGCAGGCTGAGCAGGGACCAGGGGAGCAAGCCAGTAAGCAGTGTTCCTCCATGGCCTGTGCTCCTGCCTTCAGGTTCCTGCCCTGAGTTCCTATCTTGGGCTCCTTGATGAACTGTGACCCAGTAGGTGTAAGACAAAATAAAGTTCCAGGCCAGCTGGGGCTACAGGGAGACCCTGTCTCAAAAAGACCAAAAAAAGGGGGGGGGTTTCTTTTGGGGTGGTAAAGTTCTAAAATCCACTGTGGTAATGCCTATACTTCTTTCTGTACATATGCTAAAAATTATAGATTATATGCTTTAAATGGGTAAATTATTTGGCAAGAGCTGTATCTCAACAGAAAATTCTCACTTGATTTTGATCAGAACCACAAGAAATATAGATTAATTTGGAAGCAGATATCTTTACAAGTTTTCCCATCCAGAAGATTCTAACCATCAGAAAAGGCAGCACCATTCATTCACTCATTCTTATCTAAACACTCATTGGCACTTTAAAAAAATTTTTAATTATTATGTGTATATGTGAGTCCAAATGGGTGTGCATGTGAGTGCAGTGCTCACGGAGGCTGGAAGAAGGCACTGGATCCCATGGAACTGAAGTCAGAGGCAGTTGTGGGTGCTGGGAATCAAACTTATGTCCTCTGCAAGAGCAGTAAGAGCTCTTAACTGCTGACCCATTGCTCTATGCCCAGCACTTTGTTTTTCTTTTTCTTTTTTTTTTTTTTTTTTTTTTTTTTGGTCTTTTTGAGACAAGGTCTCCCTGTACCCCCAGCTGGCCTGGAACTCACTACGTAGACCAGGCTGGCCTCGAACTCACAGAGATCCACCTGCCTCTGCCTCCTGAGTGCTGGGATTAAAGGCGTGTACCACCATGCCTGGCTAACGTTTTGTTTTTCTAAGTCATATGTGTACACTTGCTTTCTTGACTGGGTTATGAATTACAAGATATCTTCTTCTTTGTTTCCTCCTCTGTGTCTAGTACAAAGTATAATACATAGTGGGTACTTAATATATAATTATAAAATAAATGGATAAAATAATCAGTGAACAAATAAACAAACTTGCCTCTCTTCATGTGTCTATCTGGATCCAGGCAGATTAGAGAGAGAAAATATGGAAGGAAGCAGGTGATAAGAGAGAGTCTAGATAAAGAAGACAGACGTTGGATAAGCAGGAGAAATGGTAGACATAGAGAAGAAAGGAGTGTGGAAGAAGGCCTCAGGGCTGAGGTTCAAGCAATGGGACTCTTGCCCTATAGTGTGTGCCATCACTGCATTCTGTCCTCTTACCAGCTATTTTAAGGCCTTGATCCAGGGACCTTGTGCCTATTGCCCTTGATGAATATAGTTTGGGGCCAGTTAAATTCTGTACCTCTTTTCTGTTGAGAATGCAGAACCTAGGCCAGATTAGAAGGTAGCCCTTTTCTCACTATCGACATGTCTTCATACAGGAGGGAAATCATACACAGTTGTTCCTGTCACCCTATGAGGCACACTGTCCTTATCCATAACAAATGAATGAAGATAGCTCGCTCAGATCCTTTATTATCACAGCATCTGAAATGTTGTGCTGTATGCCTATAGCAACAAAAGGAAGTTGGCCAGGGGGGGCATTTTATTTGTACATCAGGTTCCTTAAATGTAATACACACATGAAAAAAATATTCATTATAATGGTTTTCTGTCACCTAGGTAAACAGTAAAATTTAAATCACTAGTCCTCAATCTAGTATACTTTATTCCCCTGGGTACCTGAATGGGGAAAATTTAAGAGAATAAAAATCTAGTTCCTCAAATTCTATATGTATCTTTTCTAACAATGATC